TCCACTCACTCACTCACTCACTCACTCACTCACTCACTCACTCACTCACTCACAGCCACCCTATAGGACAGAGTCGAAGTGCCCCTGTGAGTTTCTGAGATTGTAGCTGTTTATGGGAACAGAAAGCCCCGTCTTTCTCCCGAGGGACGACAGCTAGTGGTTTCGAATTGTTGACCTTGCGGATGACAGCTCAACTCGTAATCGTAATCCCTACATCACGAGGGCTCCTCCTGCAGGGGTCATCATTGGAGAGAACACGCATGACACCCTAGCCTCATGCTCAGGCACGCTCATGAAAATAGCCCATCAGTGGCCGTGCTCCAACCTCCTGAGCAGAACTGCACAGCTGTCCAGAGGAGCTGCAGGGCTTATTCAGTGACGATGACACTGAACTCGAATTCAGAAGACCTGTTTTCTCATCCGAGCGTCGTGCACACTTCCACCGGGACTTCGGCAGAACTAAAGTTGCAGTGCAATCCTAAGGATCCTACCACATGGAAACCCTCCATGCTCTTTGCTTGCGGCCCAAGCCCAAGCCCAAGCATGGGACGCCAAGGTTGGCTGAGTTTTCTAGAGAAACAGAACCAGGCCACACACAGATGTGTAAGAAAGAACTGTACGTAACAAGGGAGTGGCCCAGCTCAATCCAACTCAGGTCTATGGGTTAGAAGCCAGCTGGAGGCACTCAGACTCATGCCGCTGCTGGCAGAGGAAGCCCAGAGGCAAAGCAGGAAGCTGGGAGATCACAGAGCTCCTAGGGCCCCCAGAGCAGACACAGAACCCAAGCAAGCAGGACAGCAAAGCAGAGGTGGGGGTGGGGGGGAGAGGGAGGGGAGAAAGAGGAGAGACCAGTTTTCCTCAGTCTCTATCTTGTAAAAAGGCCATCCCCCAATGGAGGCAGCATCAAGCTGTGACCTGAATGCTGGGGTTAGACACCACCTCTACCTTTCCCCAGGGGCAGCAAGTTGCCACAGAACTTGACCATCAGAAAGGCTAAAAGGGTAGTGTTTATTTGCTAAATTAACTTATTACTGTTTTTAAAGAACCCTGGTGGTGTAGTTGATAGGCCTTGGGCTTCAACCCACAAGGTCAGCCGTTCGAAACCACCAGCCGTTCTGCAGAAGAAAAACGAGGCTTTCTCACCCCCCTTGAAGAGTTATAGTCTTGGAAACCCACAGGGGCGGTTCTACCCGATGAGTCAGCATCAACTTGACGGCAGCGAGTTTGATTTATGGCGGTTTTTCTCATTTAGATGAGCTAAGGTTAGAGCGCTGTTTCTCAACTCACATCATTGACATTTCAGATCAACATTTTTGGGGGGGCGGAGGGTGGGGTGTCTTATGGAGGGTTGTTCTGGGCATTGGAAGATACCGGTACTTAACAGCACCTCTGGCGTCTTCTCACTAAATGTCTCTAGACATTGTCCGTTGTCCCCGAGGAGCAACATTGCTCATGGTGAAATCCACCGCGTTACACATTCCGAAAGCTTTCGTTTTGCACCCTTTTCATAAGCGCCGATGTGATAGAGGTTAGCTTTGGCTTGGGTTCTTAACACAACCTAATTCCTTAAGCACAGGACTTCATGTGCTCTATTTCGTATTCCATAGAGGTGATGAATGTTTTCTAGGAATGGTGTATCTAGGAATGGTGTGAAATGTGTTAAAATCCCCAGCCTCCCACCAACATTACTGATTGCAAAATCCGATGAGATTTTGCCCCGAGGAAACACGCGGCACTACCGGAACACATTTTGGTGCATCATAATGGGGGCAGGGAGAATCCTACTGGCACCTGGTGGGTGGAGACCAGCAAAGTTGCTGAACATCCGGCAATGCACAGGACAGTCCCCCCCGCCGCCCCCCTCGCCCCCCCAGCCAATACCTGCCCCACCTAAAATGTGAATAGTGAGGATGTTTAGGCCCTGGAGTGTATGGGAAGAAGGGCTTGCCCTTGCACCTTTTCTTGACTGTGCACGCTTTTCCATTGGAGAACTTACCCAAGTCTCTGCTCTTCTTTCCCACAGCTGCTCATGGCACAAGTTCACGAGATGCATGCTTGTGGTCTTTCCCTTCCTAGAGTGGATATGTTTTTATCGACTCAAGGATTGGCTGCTTGGAGATTTGCTTGCTGGTATAAGTGTTGGCCTGGTGCAGGTTCCTCAAGGTAAGGAAGACACAAAGCTACCTTATTCCAAAACAGTCCATCAGCTCCTGCCCACTTCCCCCGGGTAAACCATTCCCTTGTGCTAAGCCAAGAGGAAAACTGTGCAGTCCGTTCACATCGCACGTCGTTACAGCTATTTACATTCCTCCCTGCTGGATTTTTAACCCCTCCAGGCAGTGTAGACCCCTGAATGGTTGCCTGGATATCTGCAACCCCCACTCTTATTCATTGTTTGGCTCACCTAGTCACTTCACATCTGCACGACTCCAGTTGACCTCATTTGGCATTGGTTGTACTCAGAAAGGTGGCAGAGAGGAAACCAGCATGCCAATTCCTCCTCAGCTGGTCACGACACAGCCCAAGGGCTACTCTTTGGTCTTCCGAGTAGCCTTTCTGATGTCAGAGAACAGTCACACAGAGCCTTGTGGTAACTCCCGGGGCTTTAGAAACCTCACTTCCCAAACAGGAACCAAAGTTTCCTCTTAACAGTTAACAGTCCCTTAAGTGTTTCAGTTCCATTTATTATTATTATTTACAGTTTCATTGGCACATAATCCACATATACAATTCAATAGTTCAATCATGTAAAGAGGAATTGAACAATCATCCCTCCAATCAATTTTAAAACTATTTTCCCCCATGGTTAAATCTCTTTTAAAACGAGTTGTATAATCACCATCAGTTCTAGTGTTCCCTCCCCCTCCCACATTAACTGTTTGCTCCCCCAATCCCCTCACCCTCTCTTTTTCCCACCCCCACCCCTATCTCCCCTATAAACCCTTGCATCAGTTCTTATCTCTATACCTCTACTCCTCCTGCGCTTCGCAAACGAGAGAGTCCAACAGAAACTAAGAAACAGAAACCAAATAGAGTGGTAGAGATAAAATAATAATAATACCAAGATTAAAAATACAAATAATACATAACAAAGAGAAGACCTCCATCAGCATTTAAAAGGCCAGGGAAGAAATTTTTGTCATGGAACAAACAAGAAATACTTGGAATTTAGAACAATGTCAGGTTGGGTCAAGAGGGAGACCAACTGACCATCTATCAATTTTGATCCAGTACAATCAGGATTACCATGATCTCTATCTGATAGTAAAGCGGTTCGAGATCCTTGCCTGTGACTAGAGGGGATCTGCCAGTGGCTTAATCTGCCTAGATATTCTGCAGACTGGCTTTGGGCTCCCATCCATTTTTCTATTGAGCTTTCCAAGCTCCGGAATCCTGGGAGGGACATGCCCAGTTAACAACATCATTGTATTCAGAGTCCCAAACTGGATGTTATAGAACTCGTTCACCATCTTCTCATTGTTACCATTGAGCAATTGCCTGGCAACATCTTGGGAGTTCAGCTGATATCAGATTTCCAGGACAACAGAAATAGACTATTAATCCAAGATTTAATTGGTCCCCAGAAAAAGAGGAAGGGGTTGAAACCAAAGAGTCCTATTAACATGGTGGCTGAAACCCAACTTGGGCACCCAGTAGGGCAACAGGGATGCCTTTCACTTATTTGAGTTTGAACTATCATACAACTAGATTGACTTGATTTCCTTGGGTGTATAGTTCTATGAATTAAAAGTCTGTATGTGTATCTGTGTAACCACCACCACAGTCAGGATACAGAGCAATTTCATCACCACCACCACCCCAAACTTCCTTGTGCCTTCTCCCTTTGTAATCAGACCGCTCCCTAACCCCTGCCTCCTCACCCCGCCACACGGTTTCATCCTCAATTACCATATGTTAGATTTGTTGTTTTGAGAACGAAATGGGATTTAGTCATCTAAATGGAATTATGTAGTATGTAGCCTTTGAAGGTTGGCTTCCTTCACTCAGCATTAGTGAATCTCTGCGTTCTTCTAAGATGCTGTGGTTCTTTTTTAAAGTTATCGAATGGCCCTTCCATGGTTGATTTCTCTACTCACCTGTCACTCGGGGTGTGTCCAGCTTTTGGCTCTCTCAAGGTTGCGTGGACCGTTCACCTCAGGTTTCTTTTATTATTATTATTATTACCCCTTCCTCCCCTCACCTCAGGTTTTTGTGTGAACATAGTTTCCATTTCTCTGAGGTAAATAGCAGAAGTGGGATCGCTGGTCCTGTGGTAAGTGTGTGTTCATCTTTATCAGAAACGGCCACGCTGTTTTCCAGAGTGGCGGTGTCTACACCATTTTACGCCCCAACCAGCAATGCTTGAGAATTCCAGTTCCTCCCCTTTCTTATCAGTGCTTGATATAACCAGTCTTTTTAAAGGAAACCTTTTATTTTCAGATTATTAGAAATGCACATGTATTGGTAGGAAACAACACGGAGATTCCCATGGTAACGTCTCACAAAAACACAGTACAGTCTTACAACTAGGATACTGGTATGGATATAGTCAAGACACAAGACACGGGACATTTTCATTACCACAAGGATCCCTGATGCTGCATTTTGATGGCCATCCCTGCTTCTCTCAGGCCCAGCCTCTCTTAACTTCTGTCACCTGCTAGCCTGTTCCCCACTTGGGGAGTTTTGTTATGTCAAAAACATTACTTAAGAGAGTCCTACAACATATGTGGGGGAGGGGGCGCTTAAAAATTTTAATAGAAAAATAGAGTTGAAAGACAGTGGAACTTTTTCATAAACATTTTGAAGCCCCCTCATATAACCTTTTGGGATTGGATTTTTTGTTTTCTCTTCACTCAGTATATTTTTCTGGAGATTCATCCAGGTTGTTATACCCATCAATAGCTTGTTTCTTTTTATTGCTGCATAGTGTCCCATGGGTGAATGTCCCACAGTTTGACCATTCATACACTGGACATGTAAATTGCTTCCAGTGACCAGCAATTACAAGCGTAGCTGTTAGGAATATTCATAACATGAAGAAGAATCATGTAAAAATGATATCATTTATCTGGAGTAGCTGTCCAGGAGTGCATTTGCTGGGTTGTATGATAGTATGTATGGTTCGTTTTTAAAGAAATTATCAAGTTGTTTTCCAGAGTGGCTGTATCATGGTACATTCCCAAAGGAGCCCTGGTGGCAGAGTGGTTACACATTGGGCTGCTAACCGCAAGGGGAGCAGTTTGAAACCACCAGCCTCTCCAAGGGAGAAAAACAGGGCTTTTATCTCCTGTAAACAGCTAGCATCTCCCAAACCCACAGGGGTGAGCACCACCCTGTCCTGGAGGGTTGCCCTGAGCCGGCATTGATGTGATGGCAGAGGGAAGGATGGAAGAGCCAGTGGTGGGTGAGTTACGTGGTTTCCCTGCAGCCTTGCTAGCATGATTTTATTTGAGCAATTCTGATAAGGTTGTAGAGAAATTGAACTGTGGTTTTAATTTGCATTTCCCTTAGAGTTAATAATGTTTGACCGCCTTTTGAAGCGTATATATGCCATAGGTATATCTTCACGAAGTGTCTCTTCATGTCTTCTGTGCATGTTCGAATTGGATTGTACGTATTTCTACCGTAGAATTTTGAGAGCTTACTTTAAAAAAAAAACATATTCTAGATACTAGTCTTTTGTCAGATGTGTGTGTTACAAAAGTTCTCTCCCAGTCTGAGCTCATTTTCCCATCCTTTTAACATAGTCTTCACAGATCTTATGGTTTTAATTTTAAAAAAATCTAATGGGAAGATTTTGTCTTTTTGTGTGGGGGTGTGTCATTTTTAAAAGTTTGTAGCTGCTTCTTATCATGGCTTTAGTCTTTTCCTCATAGCCGAAGAGGTTGATCATCTTTTCATCTGCTTATTTGCTATACTCAAGTAAGGATAGCAAAGTGAAATGCCCGTTCTGCTCTCTGCCCATTTTTTAATCGGTATTATTATTATCACTGTTGACTTTTGGGATTTCCTTATATATCCAGGATACAAGTCCTTTGTATGCTGTGAACAGCACCTGGCACCCAATCCACAGGGCATGGCTCCACCTTCAGGTGAAGCAGGGGGTGCATGTAAGTGGGGATGTCACTGGTCCCTCAGTGGGTGAGCCTGGGGGCTGACCATATTCCTAGTCACCAAGAAAGTGTGGAAAACAAGGGAGAATGTCACCTTTCTTTTCCCCAGCCTGGTGCCAGGCTGCTTGTCTGGATGGCATACTGCTTGTTCAAGATTGTCACTCTGCACCAGGCTAGCAGACTATTCACCCGTCTGTCTCCTCCCTGACCATTTGGTTCAGCTTCTCCTTCTATATGGTCATTAATCCACTTCTCTGCCCTTTCCTCTAGAGTTCAGGGTTCCCGGATTACCATCTGTATCTGTTTCATTCAGCCTCTTGTTTCTTTGATGTAGAGGGTTTATGTAGCATGCCTGCCTTTTTGCTGGAAATCCACTCTGAATGCCTTTTCTTAGGTTTCCTTGTTTATCGCATTGGTGAAGAGTTACAGTGTTCACTAAGAATAGCGAGGACAAACTTCTCCACTTGTTTCTGATCTTAGGGAGAGAGGAAGATTTGTTTTGTTTTGTTTTAAAGAGACCCTTTATTCAGTCTTAAACAGGACAAGGACAAGAAAACTACAAATTATCTGCATAAGGGAACCCATTAGCACGAGGGCACAACTAGTCATTGCTGCTGGGTTTTTGTTTTTGCTTTGTTTGTGTTTTATATGATTTTCTGTATATGAAATCCAGGAATGGGTATATCTATAGAGACAATAACTGGATTAATAACTACCTAGGGGAATGGAAGGGGAGACTTGGCGGTGGGGAGGAAGAGCTAACAACAAGTCTGAACAAATGTTCTGAATTTGACTGTGGTGATGATTACACAACTCTTCTTAATATGATTGAATTATTGAATTGCATGGTCTGTGACTTACATGTCAATAAAGTTGTTTTTAAAAATGGTGCTAGATCTTGCTTATAAGAGAATTCCAATTTATAAAAGTGGGAGGAAAGAAGAAAACTACATTAGACAAACTCCAGAGGGATAACTGTTGCACACGCGACCCACCACTGGATGCCAAAGAGAGCAATAGGTGAGATTTCCAGGAGACATAGGGTTG